TTGTTGCTCATCCTTAAAGGTCTTGTTATCGGGAAATGGGTGGTCGAGTGATACAATGTAGGTATCGAAGGTGTCCGCGTCACATTCAATCGTTGGACGCGGCAGTCGCGAAAGACAATCTGCGTCAGCGTGACGTCGGCCGCTCTTATAGGAAAACCGTGAAGTCATATTCTTGTAGACGAAGTGCCCAGCGCGCCAGCCGACCAGATGGGTCACGCAGGTTGACCAACCAGCAGAGAGAATGATGGTCTGTCACGACGGTAAAGGGGCGTCCGTACAGGTAGGACCGGAAGCGCTGCACTGCGAAGACTACTGCAAGGCATTCTTGCTCTGTGACAGTGTAGTTACGCTCGGACTTGCGGAGCGAGCGACTTGCATATGCTACGACGTGTTCTTGATTATCCAAGCGTTGAACCAGGACAGCACCTACACCAATACCACTGGCGTCTGTGTGAATCTCAGTGGGAGCGAGAGGATTGAAGTGTCGAAGAATCGGATGGGACGTCAAAATAAACTTCAACTCCGAAAAAGCAGACTCGCATTCCGGGGTCCAGTCAAACTGCGCCCCTTTCTGAAGCAGACACGTGAGCGGGTATGCGATATTGGCAAAGCCAGGAATGAATCGGCGAAAGTATGAACAAAGCCCCAAAAAGCTGCGCAGTTCTTTCACCGAGCTTGGCTGCTTAAATGCCTCCACTGCGGCCGTCTTGGCGGGATCCGGTCGTATGCCTTCTTTGTTTACTAAGTGTCCAAAGACAAGTGTTTGGTGCTCTCCAAAACGACATTCTTTGAGTTGAGCACCAAGCGTGCTTTGCTTAGGCAGTCCAGTACGAGGTCAAGGCGTGTGTTGTGCTCACAAAAAGTGCGCCCAAAAATTACAACGCCGTCCAAGTAACACATACACACTTCCCACTTCAATCCACGCAGAATGTTGTCCATGAATCGCTCAAAAGTTGCGGGCGCGTTGCAGAGTCTGAACGGCATCACATTGAATTCAAATAGTCCATCTGTTGTAACAAATGCCGTTTCTCCTCTGTCTTCCTCGTGCATTGGAATCTGCCAGTAGCCTGACCTCAGATCCACAGACGAAAAGAGGCCGATGATAGACAGTCGATAGCATCATCAATCCGCGGGAGTGGGTATACGTCTTTTTTAGTGATGGCGTTGAGACGGCGGTAGTCAACACAAAATCGCCATGTCCCATCCTTCTTCTTCACTAGAATTACTGGAGCGGCCCACGGACTACATGATTCTTGAATTACATTTTGCTTGAGCATCTCGCAAGCCTGTTCGTTGATCACTGCGCGTTCCGAAGGCGATACACGATATGGTTTCTGTCGGAGAGGTCTGTGAGATGTCGTGTCGATTCGATGCTTTATACGAGAAGCAGGGAATGACGGTGAATCATGCTGAGCGAAATCAAAAATACCGGCCTGTTTGCGCAGAATACTCGCCAGTTCATTACGTTCCTTGGTGCTGAGTGACTTATCAATCATAGCCATAATGGTGGTGTCCCTGGCGTGCAGATTATTGCAACGGGTCTTATCCGGGGAATCGTTGCTTTCTGCGAGAATGGCAAGCGAGAAGACTTGGTGTTCACGAATCTCTGCAAGTTTCAGACCCTTCGGCAGCACTGTAAGTTCATTAGAGCAGTTAATCGCCCATAAACCAGTATGCCCTTGCACAACCGATAATGTACAGTAGGGTATTAAAACTGTCTTCTTTATGCAACTGAGATGCACGGGCTCCACAGTTGCGTCAAATGTTTTCTCGCTTGCAGGTGAACAGGCAACAGGGACACATTTTGTAGACAACGGCGGCACAGTTGTGTCCACAGACACGCAAAGAGCACTTTCTTGAGAGGGCGAGTTTTCCATAAACGAAACTGGGATATCAGAATCTACTGTAATTTGTCCTGTGCAGCAATCAACAGTAGCACCACATAGCTTCAAGAAATCGAGTCCCAGAATGACGTCATGCGTAGTATGAGGGAGAACAGCAAACTCTGCGACAAAGTTCTGGCATGCCAAACTAACAGTCACAGTGCAGACACCAACAGGTTGTAACACCTCTCCGCTCACTCCACGAAACGTATCAGGACGGTCCCAACGAAACATAACCTTTCGTCCGAGAAGGCGGGTGAAAACTAAACTCATCACTGACACGCTTGCACCTGTGTCCACCAACGCCATCGTCGGTACACCATCGATAAGCACTCGAACCTTATTTCTAAACATGGAAGCTAACGGAGGTATATCTGTTGAAATCGAAGACTGTCCGGCGACCTCACCTCCAACGGCCGCGCCGGCTAGTTTTCCGTAGGAGGCGAGGAGTGGCGGCGCCGAGGAGACGGTGATCGGTTGGCGCGAGGGGCAGGTGGTAGTGTCAGACTGCGGTCAGAGGCCGGAGATTGGTTTCGTAGCGGTCCTGGGATCTCGTAAGACATCCTTCCCGGGAATGTCGGTGCTCGGGTAACGCCAGAAACGGTTAAATCTCGGTGATCGGTCGTACCTTGGCGGCTGCCGGTAGTTGCAATACCTGGCAATGTGTTCTTCGAAGCCACAGTTGTAGCAGACTGGTAGAGGACGCTCGCTGAACCAATGCTGAGACCGCTCAGCTGTGAAGGGTCGGTGACGAGCTTGCTGAGCGGGGGCTGCCCACCTCTGTGTGGCGGGGCCGTGATGAAGGCGTTGGCCATATCGCTGGTCGGCCGCGAATGAGTCACAACGTGGCCTCGGATTTCCAGTTTCGCTGATGTCTGCCACACATACCGATGGTGGCAAAGGAGCTGATGGTGCCGCCGTGTAGTAGCGTGGATTGGTAGGTGGATGAGGAATGGTTTTCGTCAACCCTACCACCTTGTCGCTGCAGTTCTTCACGCACAATTGCCCGAATAGTAGCCGCAAGGTCGGTGGGCGGGCTCACGTCGACGCTGGCAACCGTTGTCACATTTGCCAGCCTACCAAATTTTGGGGCGATGCGACGAGTCTTCAATTTTCAAACGTGCGGCAGTGATGTTGGACGTCGGAGGCAGAGGTGAGGTCATCTCTGCCTATCAGAAAATTGTAAACGTCTTCCGCTATGCCTTTCAATAGGTGTCCAACCCTGTCTTCTTCAGACATCTGCGGGTTTATAATCTTGCAAAGCTTAAGGACGTCCTTTATATAAGCAGTGCAGGTTTCTCCAGGAGTCTGGGCTCTTCCAGCAAGAGTCCGCTCCGCGCTTTTCTTTTTTGAGTCGGAGTCACCAAAACACTTCTTGAGTTCTTGAGCAAAAAGAGCCCATGTTGTCAAGGACTCTTCGTGGTTTTCATACCACATGAGTGCAGTGTCCGTGAGAAACAGCGCGACGTTTTCTAGCTGATCGATAGAGTTCCAGTGGTTGTACCGGCTCACCCTTTTGCAGTGCGTTAGCCACGCGTCCACATCTTCTCCTGCCATTCCCGCGAACGGGCGGGGTTCCATGTAGATGCCTAGGTGTAGCCAGTGTGGATTGGCGCGAAGTCGATGCGGTTGATTCCTGACCTTCGCTCTGGGCCATGACGACTGTTGTCGGCGGCCAGACCGGCAAGACGACGGCTCCGGCGAACTCCGAACAGCTGTGGCTCCGTGGTACGTCGACGTGTCTTACCCCGGCATCTCCACCACTCTGTTACGTCTACGAGGGGTTTATTCGAAGCAGACGTAACGGTCGACTCGACGGTCCCGCGCCTTTTCTCACTTACTATAAGCATCAAGACACAGTAAGAGTACTACTACTGAAAAACCATTTTGCTCGTTAGTGTCCCTTTAAGCAATGGTGGCCTTGTGTTAGACTTGTGTTGACGACTCGCAAGACCATGCAACGTATGGCAGTGGATGGACAACAAACGGGGCCCTTTTAAAGTGTTACGCACTTAGGACAAATAATTCTAGGCTTCACACCCAAAGAGCTTATTCCTCGTTATCATAGCAGCATCTCACACGACACAAACTAAATTATGATAAGTGAAAATCGCAACAGAACAAAGTTCTTTTGAGGAAAACAGCGGTGTGTTCACATAAGATAAGTGCTACTATAAGTGAAGTTTGAACGTCACAGCCACATAAAAAAAACATGTTAATAAATTGCCTTTCCATACTATTTGCTTTTTATGCTATGTTTTAGATTACGAGCCATGAGCAGGCCAAATATTTCTTCCGTTTACGGCAAAAAGCGCGGTGGCGCTCACGTTTTCGGTTTCCTTGCAAAATTAATACAGACATGAGGTGTAAGCAACTGAAGTTCCTATTTAGTTCGTTGTAACAACTAATTCACTACGAGTGTTTGTTATGCAGTTCAGTTGTGTGCTCGGCAACATCTTGTGACAATACTCAGCAACAACCTGTTCTCGATGACAACACGATAATTCAGTACGAGCTTTTGCCAACAAAGCCAACACTAATCTGGCCTACTTCTGCAAAGAGAGCTGTGCAACCAAAAGTCCACATTACCCTTTATGCCCTGCTGAACAGAAGTTAGACTTATTAGAAAACATAGGTTTGCTGTTTTATGGCTGAAATATCTATGACGTAATGAAATTGGCTGCAAAATTTGGCCAGAACGTTCAAGTTTCCATTCTTAAAGTAAAATTTCATGACTGTTCAAGCATCCTGCACAGACTATTTTAGAAAGGGGTTTCAGTGTCGCCATGTAGGTCTATTAAACTTTGTGTTTATATCTTTCGCAACCTTAACTAAAAGTGTTATGATAGACACACACACATGAAAACAGTTGAGTTGTTGCATACAACGTTTTCAAGCCTTATTGACATCACAGTCTACGAAAACAAGAAACATCAATTTATCAGCCCAAGATAGCGGCACCTACATGTCCTAGGCATAACAGCCAATCCAGAATTCAAAACATGCCATCACAGCATTTGTAGTCACATATAGCTCATCTGGTGTACAGCGTCATGCACATCTGACACCATGTCAAACCATCTAATGCCCATGGCAGAACTAATCGACAAAACCAACCCGGTGGAGGACTTGCAAAGATCTTTTACTGCCCTTGGTAATCGAGACGGGAGTGCAGGGGTGAAATTCATTCGTGAAACTTGGCCGGCGCTCGCTTGCTTCGCAAGCGTGCACATTGATCTCGTTCCAGCTGGGCTTATCTCCATGAGGTACACCAAAACGTCGGGCACAATTTTGACCCGGGTTGTTACGGCTCTGGAGGGGACATACCAAAGCACCAACAGTTAGAGTATAATGCCGACAAGTCCCGAAAGGCAACAACACATGTATAAAACGTTCATCACTGATAACATAATGTATGTGTTTTTGATGTACATTATAGTATCTAATAATATTCACGTTGTGCTGAAAACTTTTCCTAAAGTGTGCCTAAATAACAGAGAGACAGCTTTGTCTACTACCTGAAGTATGGTAGTTGACCTCAAAGATGAATTCATGCATATAGTGTAATTGAAATCAGCCCAAAAACTAAAGAACTCCACTTAGTTTTATCAGATTTACCCACAAAATAAAGAAAACACCTCAGCCTACATACCTCTGCAGGGAAGTATACATATATTTCATAGAAAACTTTTTACTAGTGCTACACGCAAGAATATCTGCTTTCCAGGGATCATGCAATTTTTTTCTGGTACACTTTACTATTCAACAATGATGTTCGACGATACACCACCCTAGAGAAGGAAGAAGTGATGAAGAGACAGCACCATTTTAATGATTCGAAGAAGTTTAGCACTTACAGTCACTCACGGTGTTGCTTGCAGGATGTTTTAGCTTTGCCTACGCAATGATGTGAAAAATGTTCAGTCGCCTCTCTTGATATTCTAAGCACTCATAATAGACAAGCCCCAGCACATTGAACTAGGACCACGCCTCCGCTTGGAGCACGACAGGTGCAGCCATTACTTGTCCAAATAAGCAGTGAAGAGAAGTGCACTGGCAAATTACGAAAAAGGCCCGTTCATGAACGTTTTGCCTGAAAACAGAACGTCCACCCAACTGTATGCGCTGCGCCATACCTTTTCTGATGAAGCTTTGGTAATGATTTTCCCTGCAAGGAGGTCTTCCAGAAAGACCTGGTTGATCGGATGCATTCTTCCTGAAATCCTGATGATGGGGGCATCGTCGAAGTAATCGGAAAACTTTTCAGTGACAGTTGCATTCCATGAGAATCACCTGCAGGAGGGAAAGAAAAAACTAAAAACAATATAAATTGCCTTCATGAATTTATTAACGATACCTTAACGGCCTTTTTTCATGATAGTTTTGAAGACAGCACTGCATTATAGGACATTTTGAAGATTACAAGATGAAAAAATAGCACCAAATTCAAAAATTAATGAAAATGCAATATTGTTGGCACTGCATCGCTAGCGACGCATGAAAAAGAAACGCCTGAGAAAATGCATCAGGACCTGGCCAGAAGGTACATGGGCAGTACAGTGATCAATGCACAGTGTGAAATGCATACCACATGCAAGAAACATCATACGAGAAATTTTGCATTGAAAAGTACCTTCTGATAACTGGTATGCTGGCAGTGCCCGACAAAATAACCACAGTGTAAATCGAGCTTGGCAAGCCCCGCCGCAGTGGTCTCGGTGGCTAAGGTACTCGGCTGCTGACCCGCAGGTCGCGGCTTCGAATCCCGGCTGCGGCGGCTGCATTTCCGATGGAGGCGGAATGTCGTAGGCCCGTGTGCTCAGATTTGGGTGCACGTTAAAGAACCAGGTGGTCGCAATTTCCGGAGCCCTCCACTACGGCGTCTCTCATAATCATATGGGGTTTTTGGACGTTAAACCCCACAATCAATCATTACATTCATCCATAGCTAGTGCAGCATATCAGTGCTGGCAACCTAGCAACATATTGTTAACGTCGCTCTCAGCGTGTAATGGTGTACTGCGACGCATCAGGTCAGTCAAACGGAGTCCGAATAATCAAATGGCGCACAGTGGGGCGTCCGAATTTTCGGTCGTTAGTTTACATTAGGATCAATGGGAAGTGTGGCGGTGCCATGAATATGTCCGAATAAACGGTCGACGACTGTACATGCTGCTGGAGGCACCGCTCCTATTCTACATTTAGTTTTTTTTTTTTTTACCTGAATCAATAAAGTAGTGCTGATGCGAATGCATATTGGCATTTTGAGCGGTCTCAAATATTCATCCGTCACTATTAAAAGGGGCCCTGCCACACATTTTCAGGATGGTCAGACAACACTGTAAATTGGTAGTTGTAGCTCTTGAGAATGCGCGAGCCAAACAGTAGAATGCTCACACGACCCGGAATAGCTATTCAATTTTCAAAGTCAGCTATAAATCCCTCCCTCCTTCTTTCTACAAATGACGCCATATGCCCAAATTCATGGCCATAGGATGATTTGAGCATCGCGAGATGCGTAGTTCTTGAGGCCGCCACAGGAGGCTGCCATGTGGCCATGCCCGCACTTGCAATTGCAGTAAGTGAGTCGCGTGTTCGCAAAAAAAAAAGGAAGGAAAGAAAAAACGTGCGCGACGTACCTTCCTTCCTTCGCGCCACCTATTTTCATTTAGCCTCCGGCACACTTGTTGGAAAGTGGAAGGAAAAAGAGCTATTGCAGCGTGCTACGAATCTCTGCGACTCCGCTCGTACACAACGGATTCTAAAAATTTTTGCAGCAGTAAAATTGTTGGGCAATGAACTTCTTTAATAAAGCGTTACAACGGTTACTTGATACATGTAGAAGGGCCCCTTTAAAGGAATCACGAACTACTTGTCCAGGTAATCATCAAATGAACTCAGTATTGGAGTTTACTGCTTAGCCAATACACTGCTACGAAAATTTCTTGAATCCGTGAAAAATGGGTAGAGTTAAGAGGACTTGTTGCACCCTTTGAGTGCTCTCTTCTCATTCCGACGAGTGTCCAGGAAGCTATCAAGGGAGGGATGACACAGGGGAAAGGTGTCATGATTTGAGTGCATCATCGTGAAACTTGACCTATTCGTAGCACTGTCTGCTATCCGCAAAATTTGTTTCCCCACTAAGCTGGAAGGGTGGTTAATGACTCCTTCAAATTATATTTGCCTTTGGTTCTCATTTCAAGAAGTGTTTTAAAGAGAGCCATGAGGCAGCGAAACCTGTGCTCATTATAGGCCATTATGACACCGAACATCACTCACAGCAGTACTTGGTGTTCCTCAGCTCTGAATGTGACATCTTCAGTTTTGGCGCTCTGTCCCTGGTCCAGCTTGGCCTTCTTGCTTTGCAAACTCGCATCCAGCTCTGTCACTGCAGAGATAAAACAAAGAGCAATATGACTATACACACCCTAACTGCCCTAAGACGTACAACACATTAAGGTAATAATACGTAGAAGGATTCTGCATCATCACTCAGACAAAAACCTTCAAAAGGCCTAAAATATGCCCAATTTCACATCACCTAAAAAGCCACTTGTCTTCAACAATGAATATTCCCTTCAGGCGTGAATGCACTGTTTACGAATATGTCGAATTGCACCATTATTCCAAGGCACTCAATATTACATTTCAAGAAAGAAAACAAAGCAATGTGTTTTTCTGTGCGAGTTTCCGCCATTATTTATAATTATTATATAATTGTTTATTTTTTGTAAGTCAGTCACATTCCATAGTGACAAGAATGAAAGCATAGGTTCCAAATGTGTGTGCAAGTAGTTTTTGGTTACACTCATTGCGGAAAAAAAAAGTACTTATGACTTCAGTTTTGAAACTTAGCAAGTTGAATGACCCATCAAACATAGCAGCACCTTCACCAAAGCAGTTGATTACAGTGAGACACAGCGCACTGAAGTCAATTCGAGACATACTGTGCAAAAGGTTCAGTTCATTCAATGAGCAATGTATGTTGCTCTCTTTTGGTCACAAGTTGACACAACTTGCAGGAAAAAAAAAAACAAGTTGCGTAAACAGACTTAGCCATCGCCGCTGGAGGGGATACTATCTCACATCCTGCCTTTTTTAACGCATTACTAAGGCTATCAGTCCCTTCAACATCACCGTGCCAATAGTACCATGGAAGGAGAGAGCTAAACAGCCCATAAGCAGTTGCTCAAGGAAGACCCCTGTTCAATTTTGCCATACGCAACACTTAATCCACAGTTTCCTTTAGGCGCACTTTTCATCACTTTTTAACGTGCAGTATTGATTTGGAATCTGAAAACATTCACCAGCTACGTAAGCAAGACAGAAAGTTATCGAGGGCAACTAACTGGCCAGCACAGCCTGCAAATACTTGTCTTACTCCTTCTTTTCTCCTTTTCTCCATTTCTCACACAACAAGATCAGCTATAAGGTACTTCTCTCATTGCATACACTAGCTCGTGCCCATAAAACTGAGCATCACATGACACATAAGTACCATCAAACTCAGTGCAACTTGCTACAGTGGAGATAATGGTTAACAAGCTCCCATTTTGGACAGAATTATCATGAAAATGAGGGCAACTGAGCACCATGCACAATCTAGGACCAATACTCCATCCAACAACTACCTCGCAGCACTGTCGAAGCTACAAGGAGCGCAGAGGCAATATCCTTGCAAAGCATGCAACATAGTACAGAGCAGGGTTGCCACTGGTGGATGATTTTCACTAGATTGGCGAATTCGAAAGGCGCGTGGCAACCTAATCAGAATTGGCGGCATGGCAATTTTTCGGCAATTTTCGCCTTAGGTCTCAACTGAGTTATGTTTTCTATTTTCAGCGTCTTCAAAACAAATGAGACACAACATTTCCTCTATTTTTTTGTAGTTTTAGACTCCCTGGTATAGGAGGTGCACTTGACGAGTAATTCAGTACGTCTGTCTTGTTTCTCGTGTAACTCCTCAATTGACCAAGATCCTGGAGGCACTGTCACACTGGTGCTTCCACCAGCAACCTCCAAGCACTGTTTATGTAGGGACTTTTCCCATGCCGCGAGGTGGTGGTGTGTACCAAGTTCTTTACAGGCTTCAAGCGCTTTATTGCTTTTAAAGTTTGGCGTCCTGAATGGCTAGGTGAGTTTAAGTCGTGTGTTCCAACCACAGCTCCAACTGTCCTAAATATATTGTCGACTTATTCCCTGCTGTAGTACCCCATAATTTTTTATGTAAGTTTCCATTTTTTATTAACATTCTTTTCAGGTTGGCTAAGAAGTCGCCTTTTTCGGACAGCCTTCAGAAACTGCACTGAGGTGAATGTTTAGCGTAAGCATGACCGCACAAAAAACATGGTGCGTGCATTGTGACGGTTCAGGACAGGTTTTGAATTCATTACCAAATATCAATCCCCAGATTCCACTCAATGAAATTCTCGAAATTTGCAAGAAGGCTACGCACGCTATTCCTCTCTTTTTGTAGCGACTGCTTCATCCTGGATTCACTACAACTAATACAGTCGCAACCTTTCCTTATGAGGCAATACCATTCAGAGACGTTGATGGTGCATGCGTGCCCTTTCCAAGTGCTATTATGATGAAGGGGGAGATGCAACTGGCATTAAAGAATGTCAATATAATCAAGGGGTTATGGGCAGTATTGTTCTTCACGGGGCTATACATATAACAGCAATATTATTACTAGGCACGCCTCACATATATAGATTGGGACTTTTCTGGCGAATACGATGGTTTTTGGCGACTTCTCGCTCGTTGTTGAGCGAATTTCACCGAAAGTCAGTGGCCATAGTACACAGCATAACTCCTTCATTATCAACAAGCTACAAGTGTTCAGCAGGCTTTTTGCATGACACGTTACAGCAATCCGTGGTACATAAGGCTTTCCGTGAGTGCACTTCGCATTTTCCAATTATTGTAACGATTACCTGCTGGTAACCATAATGGTCCCCTTAACTGTGATGACGCACACCAATATAGCAGCCGCAGTGACAATTGGGCGAGTAAGTATGGGTTCATAGTTAAGAACGGCGTAGGAACACGAGACAAACAAACAAAGAAAGCGAAAGGACGGACATTGGACTCGCAACTAATCTTTCTTCACGTCGACTCACAAATACATACAGGCATATAGTCACACCTGGAAAACCTGGAAAATAACGAGAAAATAGCTGTGGCACCGTATGTGCATAATATGTCACATGGATTGAAAAACATGGCGGGCTGATTTCGTGTGAAGGCAGTTTTTTCAGAGCCTAACCAG